AAGGTGAAATTATACTCACCGCTCCCGTTGCAAGCATTCTCCGAAGCTCTTTGTGGCGTCTTTATGTCGTTATAAACAACTAAATTTGATTAAGTGTGGTGAACGTGGTTGCAATGCAAGTAAGTTGGCGTAACTAGCACAAAGCTAGCCCGAGCTGGCTGCTAAATGTCCTGGCCTATGAAGACAAGTACCCGTGTACATTAACATAACTTCAAATTCGCCGAAATAAGGGGAAAGGGAACACTAGTAGTCTAATTTGTGCGCTTTAAACCACACTAATTAGCTCAAAACTAAACGTAATTCATACTAAAACTAAAGCGAGGCTTAGCTTGGCAGACCCGTGAACAGCCTTGATACAAATAAGTGAAATATCGCGAGATGAAGATCCTCGGTCATTACTTCCGTTGTAAATTTTCACATTCCCGCCATCATCGCGCAGCTCAGCGACGCGTCGTGTGCTGCTCTGCTGTCAACAGCACCGGAGAGCAGGTGAATGCCGGCAAAACAAACTTTCTGCCTGCTCAGCACCTACAGAAGCGACACCGGACTTTTAGAAGTTTGAAGACAAGCTCTCGTCATCGATAGGTAAGTACCTGCTCGGTGTAATCACAACGCGATACGCTTTTCATCACCAAATTACAGACTAGCAAATTAGCCAGTTAGCTAGCGTCCGTTAGCTTGTTAGCCGAGGTGCTAACGTCGGCCTCCATCCCATTCAGGGGCTGCGGACGAGCATACGACATTATCCGCATCCAAAGGGGCTTTTTTACTTTTGGCTAGCACCTTTTCTTGGCGTTGCCGGTTTGGACAGGTAATTCTGTGGGAACATCAATGCCTTGAGCTGAGAGGGAACATCCCGTGTTGTTGTGCACGTACCAGTCGTTGGCTCCTGCGAATCAGAGTGGCCGTTAGTTTGGCTAGTTTGATGGCAGATGCAAACATGGGCTTTTATTGAAGCTGCTAGCAAAGAAATTCACAAGGCACGAGCTGCCACACGCAGCCAAACAAGCTGTTTTATTTGTCAGAAATGCATTGCGAGCGTGCGGTCCGCTTTTCTGCTGCGAGATGCTGCGCTGACTCAGGTCAGCTTGTTTTGGATGGTTTGTACTTTCTTGTGACTTTGACAACGTGGGTTGCCTGCTCTCGTTATCTGAGCTCAGCATCGGAAACTTTGAAGTTGCTTTCACCGAGACTACTACAGGTGATATTAGTGTTATTACAAAAAGAGGTGCTATGTTCATTTCAGTGGCTGCTTCTGTTCGTTAAGCTCATTATTTTCTTGCAGTATTTAACTAGAGTAATCAAATTCAGAACTACCTGACCATTCGTTTAAACTGCTCCTGCTGAACACATTCAGTTGTTATAAATATAATGTGCTCAGATTGTGTGACAGCGGATCCAATTTGTCTTTTTTAGGATTAGTTTGAGTCCCAGTCTCCCAAGTGCACCAACAGGGTAGCAAGCCATGGCAACTGTAGTGCCCAAACTCTCCAGCGCTGGGGTTGTGAAGATCCGTTTCACCAGTCTGGACCTGGGCACCACCAGGTGGAAAGAAGGGACGTTTGAGATTTTGGAAAAGGACAATAAAGTTAACCTCTGCCTGAGATTCAACTGTGGAGGAGCTTCCAAAACTTTCCAGGTATTATACTGCTACTTTTCTCCCCTCATATTTATTTCTGCCTTAATTGAATCAACACTAGTTGATAGCTTGTTTATAAGACCCCAAATAATGTCTTACTTTCACATTGGTCTTCATTATTGTTATTTTTTTGTTAATGTCCTAAGAGGTACTGATTTCAATTTTAGTGGTCCCTTTGATTATGATCTAGCAACCTTTTGCACTGCATCCAGATAGTATTGTTTTATTTGGGTCAGCTGGCTCAGAAGGTACTGTGGGTTGCCTGTTTTTCTTGGGATTGTTGGGTCAATTCACATGTCAAAATAAGATTCCTTGGGGTGAGTCATGCCACCGCCTTATTTTGGTGTGCAAGAGTGAATGAGTATTTTTTTTTTTTAAATGTACGAATGCACCAGACTTGCAAATTAAACAGCTGATTAAAACAGAAAAAGACACAGAACCCTCATAATCCTGCAAGAAACCATTTATTTATTTATTTATTTATTTATTTATTTATTTATTTATTTATTAGGGGTGCAACAATACTCGTATCGATATTGAACCGTTTGATACAGTGCTTTCGGTACACATATGTATTGAACAATACAAAATGTTTTATTTATTTTATCAACTTTTCTAATGACGATGCTGTCTGTGTTGAGCGCTCAGTGGATCTGCGTTCGACTACTCGGCCTAGGCTGCGCTGTCCAGTGCAGATCCATTGAGCGCAGCGCAAGCTAGCAAGACAGAAACTAAGCTCGTTGCAACATGGCAACTGCCCCAACGCTACCCGAAATTGAACCTCCCCCACCCTTATTCAGATCTGGCGTTTGGAACTATCTTGGTTTTCATGTGAAGCATGACCCTGATGGTAAGGGCGTCATGGACAAAAGTAAAATAGTATGTCGGATGTGCCACGCAACGCTCAATTAGTGGGAACTAGTGCGTTAGCGCAGTTAGCTTGTTAACGTGTTGACGCCGTCCAGCCCCATGCACGGGGCGATCCAGATTAACGCTGACAGCACTAGTGGGAACACAACGAATATGACTGCACATTTACACCGACATCATCCTAGTGCAAAGACAAGTGGAAGCAGACAAAAACAACAAGCACGCATGCTACAAACTTTACCCGAGTCATTTAGACAGCCGTTAGCACATGATTCTCCTTATGGGGACCTGATATGTTTAATATGCTGCTGAGAATATAGCCCAGAAGAAGCGTATAGTATAGCTTTTATTTTGGAAAGAGCCATTTCTCTGTAATAAACTCTCTTTTCAAAAGATGAGTGATTCCTCAATCAGATAGATTAATTTTTTTATTAATTTCTTGTTTCAGCAACATTAAATTTAAAAACTGTACTTTTGAGTTAAAATATATATTTATAATTTTAATAAATGACAAACTAAAAAGGCATGAACATTTTTGGAAAATAAAAGATGGTATTTCTTGTTAAAGCATTACAGGAACAAACTTGTTAAATGGCACCCCATAAATCAGTCTTACATGTCTGATTCATGTCAGTACTAGATGAATCTAAGCTGTCAGCTTTGAGGCATTACGCAATGAATGAGCAGTAGCTCTGCACTGAAGCCATGAATGAACCGGATTAGAAACGTAATCTCACCCATGGCACATGCCAGGCTTTGTTCAGCCCTCGGGTCAAGTGTTTTTAATCCATGCCTGTACTTCTTTTAGATGATCCCATATTCCACAACTAAAATATTTCAGACTGACTGATGTGATTGGGTCTGAAAAGAATAATTAAGCGCATAATTTGTAAATGGCAGTCGACTAGAATAGAATAGACACCCAGTCCATCTTGAATTAGTTGTACGAGTTAAAATTAACTCTGGTTTGTGCTGCATTTATGTGTGTTTTAGAAAATCTTAAAACAAAACTGGCACCTTCAAAGTTTAAAGACTTTGAAAATGTGCTTCACATGCAGTTTTCCCCACTCATACTAATGTACAGTAACAACAGCCTAACTATATTTTCTGCTTTCTTTGAAGTTTCTCTTCTGTCAGAAAAAACTGCTTGATAACTTTAATAGTCAATATTACCCTTCCTCTTATTTTAAAAGTTCAGTTGCTGCTAAAACAGCTAGCTTCCTGTCCTCCTTTTCCCTACTAGTAAACCTCTTGTTTTTGCAGTTCAACTTAACCACTCCTGTCTTAGTCCTTATTCTGCTCTGCTGATCTGCTGTGACCTGGCGGGTCACTCTGACCCAAACCTGCATCAGGAGATAAACTGGTTCATGCCTAGTAGGCCATGCAGGACAAGGACCACAGCATCTGCTGCTGTTTAACTCTCCCCTACTAGAAGTAACTTTGATGGGTTTTTTTTTTTTTTTTTTAAAGATTAGCCGTTTCTGTAATATTTCAGGCCTGCTTATGGAACAAAATGCCTGGGTTTAAATCGGAAGTTATTGAGGGTAGTCTCTGCCTATGCAAACCACATCTTTATTCAAATACTCAGGTGTCAAAACCCATCTTTATGGGCGCAGGGGAGGTTGTCAAATGTTGTTTTGATGGGGAAAGCGTTAAGACAGAGAGGCTGGAGTTTGTCTAAGAGATCAGAAACTCTAACTAACCCATTCACACGAAGTTTGTTATTACTTTCTTTAATAAAGTGTGTGTGCCTTCTCTCGATCCCCTCCTACCAACACAATATAACTGAAGTTTGTAGGAAAGTCTGGAAAACTTGGAGGCTCTAACACTGTAATGAATCTGTCTTGCTCCACTGCTAGGAAAGTCAAAAAATCGAACCCCCACGACTGTTATAATTTCCACACAGACATATAAGAGCTTTTCTATAAGAGTCTGGAGCAAGAGAAGTAAAACAAAAACAAACTTTGTCATCACAGTCAAGTGTTCTGAGTCTCTTGTCACTAAGAACCTCACTCCTCAGATAGCATGATATAAGACCTATTGAAGAAAGTAATAGCTGATAGAGTGAGGTTTATCATATAGAACTAGTTTGTTCAAAGGTATACTTTATCAACAAGTATGATGTGAGGAGAAGGATGATGACAATGTATATATTACTATTGTATGCAATAGTAATAATCATGAATCCGAATATTTGCTGTTCTTTGCTCTCAGCTGAACCAGAACGTGAAAAATATTAGCCAGAGTGTCAACCGCATCGTCCTGACTCTGAAGGATAACAGTGTCATCACGCTGGACAAGATGCCTCCACCTTTGGTTCAGAAGACTAAAGAATACCTTGAAAAGCTGAAGCAAGGAAAGCCAGGTAATGACACCCCTGCACATTTAAAAAAACAACAACAAAACAAACAAAAAAAACCCCCAAAACTGAAAAGATTTTTATGTTTTATTTTTTGGGAATTAATCCTTGTATGGTCTTCTTGCAGAGACTGGTCACTTTTTCTCTGCAGCTTCATGTTAATATATTAATATTTCTTAAGTTGATGCAGAGTTTCAAGTAGGGATGTGCACGTCGAGCTGACCAGTCGACTAGTTGTTGCTATTGTCACCAGTTGATAACAGACGTACTAGTCATTTAATCTATTTGGTTTACATTTAATTGATACCCAATGTCAGTAACAAGGTTTGTACAGGTGCTTGAAATCCTTATCCTTATAAATGCTTGAATTGTATTTTGTCTTTTCAAGGTTTGAAAGGTACTTGAATTTCAGATGTTGTGCTTAAAAGTGCTTCAAATTGTAAATGTATTTCATTCACCACAAATAACTATCTGATTGAATAGTTTTCTTATCAGATAGAGAAATACAATTAGTTGCTAAGTGTAAAAACAAAATTTCTCCACCTGGGCTGCCTTGCACCTCTGCATGTCATCAGTTTGCTTGAAGAACAGGATTCATTTTTATCCTATTAAATAAACAAAACATCTGTAGCTGTCATAAAAACTTATGCAACAGCTTGTTGTGAAGTAAGGTGTGTGTTAGTCTGCTTTTAAATCTATGATCTGAATGCTTTATGCATCATGGCAATGCAGCAGTGTTATTTATTTATTTTTTATTATTTTTTTATTATTTTCAGTTCAAGCACATGGATTAACTTGAAGTGATTCTGACTCTACAGTGTAACAGGATAATTTTTATGCTTTTTTTCCCCCCTGAACTTTTTGTTTATGCTGCAGTTTTAAAATCATCCCTCGGAAGTGCCAACTTCAGTGTGCTCGGGAACAGATCTGTGAAAAATGAGGCCAACCCGTCCGGGGAGAGACAGGTGATCAAGAATGCAATAACAATCTTAACTTGAAAACATGTGGACAAACGTACATGTGTTTAACTTAATTCCTCCTGGTGTGTTCAGACGACACCGAGGCGGCAGAGCGCAGAAGGCCGGGAGGACACGACACCGAGAAAACCTCTCGGCAGCCCGAGCAGAGCGGCTTCCACTCCCACTCGCACAGGACTGTCTGAAAACAGGCAGGCTGGGAATTTTTAGACAGTATTACACAGAATAAATTAAATTCATTTAGGAATGTTTAATCCTGCCCCATTTGGCATGTGAATTATTCGATGTTTCTGTTTCTCAGGAGCGAGAAGAGAAAGCGACTCCTCACTCCTGATAACGACCTCAGTGAGGATTACCCAAAGGAAAACGACTCCTCGAGGTATAATCAGCACTGAATTGCAGTCCTGTTGGTGACTCATAGGATGACCTTATCTCTGCAGCCTTTTGTCTGAACCACTGCCTGTTTGTTTTTTGCAAATCTTGTGGCGAGATAATTAAAACTGTAACTGGTAATCAGTAGGTCGCTACTTTCATCGGCAAAATACGAACCTTGATTGATAGACTTTATTTTACTGAATTTGAGTAACATTTTTCAGCAACAACAAGGCGACTTCTGACCCCTCCTCCAGGAAGTTTCTTCTGAGCTGCAAAGAAAAGCTGAAGCAGTCAGAGGAGAACAGGAGCTCAGGTAAACCCAGCAGCACCACCTTTTTGTAATTTAGTTGCACAGCATTCTCTATGCAAATTTTTCCCAGACACTGATACACTCATGTGCCTCCTTAACTGTAGCTCCTCTTGGGTCAACTCCCCTTCAGCCATCATCTTTCTACGGCAGCCGATCTGTGACTAAAGACTACAGCCAGAGCCACTCTTTTCTGGACAGGTGAGTTGCTTCATGGCTCAATTAAAATGCAAAGCAGGAGCAATTTGAACCTAGGATCACGAATTTAAAAACAGTACTATTTGATATTTATTTAAAGGGAACCTTTTGATTGTTCTTCGAAGATGACTTCTACAGTACCCACCCTCCATGCTAGCTTTGGCTTTCTGTGATTCTTCTATTTATACATTATCTCCCACTTTGCTGATACCTGGTAGCTAGTAGCCATCATGTGTTTTGTTTCAAGGTTACAAACAGCTTCTAACTGCATTATCGCCACTATGTGATAGTGCATTATATCCTACCAGGCAAGGGAAAGTGAATATTTTGACATAAAATATAGTCACATAAACTATGATTATTTTTTTTAAAGATCTTAACTGTCTGTATTTTAGTTAATAATTTTTAGATAATTAAAAATTAAAAGTATGTGTCCCAATTTGTCTTGATTGACTTATATATATATATATATTTATGAAGATCCGAAATGAAATCTTAGATAAGAAAAAATCAGGTCTAAAGATTCTGTTCCAGATCTAATTTCAAAAGGGAATTACTTTCACAAGGTTGAGCCAAGCTTTCCCACCTGCCTGCAGACTTTTCCAAGCTTCCTGCTAGACAGATGGTGGGTGCTTAGAGTGCTGGCTTCAAACCTGGGTAGGTTTTGATTAGTTAAAATCAGATGAAAGGAACCAGTCATCTCCTTGGCACAGGTGATAACAGGGGAGAACATTTCTATTCATCCAGTGATTGATTTTTAATTCTCCTCAGGCCATCCAGTACTGCACAGACCCCCATAGCCAAAAGGAGCCTCGTGCTACCAAACCACTCCACTCCCTTTAAGAAGGTACGACCCTCCTTGGACTATGGTGGCTGGAACAAGCAGAGGCCCTCCACCCTGGCACAGCCTCAGGCTCCGCTGCAAGGGTACAGATAAGCCAGCTCCACTTGATATGAAAGTCATTGGATCCATGAAACCAAATAACAAGGGAAAAATCAAAACAACAAGCAGTTTTTGAAACTTCTGTTATTCATTTAAGATTTTCCAACCTGGGCAACACCTGCTACATGAATGCCATCCTGCAGTCCCTCTTCAGTCTCCCCTCCTTCTCTAATGACATGCTGAGGCAGAGCATCCCATGGAAGAAGTTGCCCATCAATGCCTTGCTCAGGTACTGTATTATATTATTATAGGTTGATAGTAACTGTTGTTTTTTAACAATACTCTGGATTGTTGTCATTTTTAACATAGGTGTTAAATGACATAGGAAGCAGTTTAAATGAACTTGGTTATGATCTGTGTCCGGTCTTCACTCTGTGCAGGCGATTTGCTCACCTCATGGTGAAGAAGGATGTGGCCTGTCCAGAGACGAAGAAAGACCTTTTGAGGAAAGTAAAGAGTGCCATCTCCTCCACAGCAGAGCGTTTCTCTGGAAACATGCAGAATGTAAGTTTCCCACTTAAACTCAGGTATATGACCAGGTATGCTTTTCAGTTGAGATTGTGTGCCCACATATGAAAAGGGACAGCAAAACAAATCTTTAAATTGCACCTTTGAAAATTTAACAACAATAGTGTAGAGAATAACTCTTAGTAGTAGAAGGTTTATGTTCTAAAGAGCACAGTTTAGAAATTAAACAGGTAATATAGGTTTGCTTTTTCCAGTGTTTTCTCGAACTTCTTCCTCTTCCTCTAGTCCCAAATTACAGTAAGACTGTTTATTATTAATGTTGAGCTCATTTTGGGCTCAGAATACCTGCTGAAGGACAATCTGCAATTCTAATTATTATCCAATTAGTAATAATTATCTAGTTATTACTCTGTGTGTTTGGACTGAAGACTCTGAAGATATAATGTATTTGCTCAAAAATTTCTTTGGTGCCACAGCTAAAAACTGAACAAAGACTACAATACCAAAAAAGGTGTGTGTGTATATATAGTAGTATGTAGCGCAGTAAAATACAATACAACACAACAAGTGTCCAGCGAGGTAAAATTATGTGAAAGAGGCTAAAAACAAAAAGGAAAGTGTTTTAAAAGTGATAAATAAGTAAAAATCTAACACAGTAGAACATGTAGAAACATGTGATACAGTACAGAGCTCAGCAATTCAATAATAATGTAATTAAATAAAAGCTGACTATAATGCAATAAAGTGACTTTAGAAAGTAAAATGTCTCAAATTTAAAGCGAAAGTAAAGCAAATATGAGATGGCACACTGGTTCAAATGATGATTTTGGCTTTCAAAGGAGAATAAAACGATAAAGCGATTATCTTTTTTTCCCCCCTTCCCATCTTCCCATCCATTTCTGTTTGAGGCTGCCTGCTCATAGTTTTGTGATAGATGTGCATCATCACAACTGTGTTGTTCTTTTTTTTTTGTTTATAACATTCAATATTTAGTATTTACTGTTATTTACACTTATCTAGGTTGTTGCTTTAATCTCTGTATTGTGTTGTTCTCTTGTTGTTTGTTTTATTTTCTTCTTCTTTTAATAGCTGATCTAACAAATTTTCTCAGTGTCTCTTACTGCCCCCCCCTTCCCCTCTGTCTTTCTTTCTCCCTTTCTTTCTTTTTGTCTAATTGTCTGTCCAATTTGTAATAACTTAACATAAAATAAATAAATAACTAAACAATAATATTATAGATCAATCAAGTGGACCAACATGGCATTGCCATACTTTCTCCACTTAAAAAAATAAATCCGTTGAGCATCTTTCTTCAGACAACAATTCTGATTGCTAAAGTACCGACCAGGAGAGGCAAAAAAAACAACAACCCCCAAACAAACAAAAACGCACAAAAGACGTTAAATCTTTCAGGCTTGTGGTTTAAAGTGGCTGTGAATAAAATCCTGTTTTAAACCCCTACATGTTTCTTGTTTTTTCAGGATGCTCATGAATTCTTGAGTCAGTGCTTGGACCAGCTGAAGGATGACGTGGAGAAGATGAATAAGAGCTTAACGAACGAGGCCACCTCCTCCTCATCGTCTTCTGTGGTGGGTGAGAATGGTCTGGAGGGAACGTCATCGGCAGTCAAAGCAGAGCCTGGTGACGAAGCAGACACCTCGCGGATCTACACCTGCCCCGTGGCAGTCAACATGGAGTTTGAGGTGCAGCACACCATCACGTGCAAAGGGTGAGGCTGGTCTCCTGCCCATCATTCAAAACTCTCGATGAAGGTGAAAGGTGTTTGATTCCCTCTTTGTTGTGTTGCAGCTGTGGCGAGGTGGTGACCAAGCGAGAACAATTCAATGACTTGTCCATCGACTTGCCGCGAAGAAAGAAGACACTGCCGCTTCGCTCCATCCAGGATTCCCTGGATCTGTTTTTTAGGGTGAGTCACTGGTCCCGTCATCCTGATGCCCCCATGTTGGATCAAAAATGACCAACAGCGTCAGAGGAGTGCACTTATTAGCTTAGTATGCGCAATGAGGCTCAAGCAGAAAAAACACTGTAGCATTTTAGTTTGCAGTTTACAAACTGAGAGAGCCTTTGTGAGGAGACACAAAAAATAGAATTTCTTTCACGCAACGAGACGAGCATCAGCTGGATGTAATTTCATATATAATTAGTTACTTTTTCTTTTTACAGATGGAGGAAATTGAGTATTCGTGTGAAAAGTGCAATGGGAAATCAGCGACTGTTATGCACAAATTTAGTAAACTACCCAGGTATCTACAGTCTGTTTAAACACAAACACAGTAAAGACACACAATAAACACTAAAGATGCAGCACATATGGAAAACATTGAAAGCATAACCAACTTATGGAATAAAAAGAATTTAAGTGCCTAAAAACCTTTGTCTTCACAGAGTGCTTATCCTACACCTGAAACGGTACAGCTTTAACGCTCAGCTGTCTCTAAACAGCAAGCTGGGTCAGCAGGTCTTGATCCCCCGATACCTGACCCTGCTGCCCCACTGCACAGAATCTACAAGACCCCCCATCAGCCTTGGCTGGAGCCCTCAAGCTGCCTTGTAAGATGGGAGAAAACATTTTAATATGCATACAAATTTAATTCTGTGTAAATACATTAGATGGCTGAAGTGATTTCAGTTTTAAAAGGCCAAATGGCAATGTTTTGACATCTCCTGCAGCCATGATTTTTCATGTTGGTTTAATACCCCAGAGAGGACTACATGTTATAAAGTCAGCATTTAGTTTGCAATTTAAACTAAAACTTGCTCCTTTAAGTACAACTTAACAATCAGCCTAGAAGTAGAGCTCCAATAGCAGCAAGAGTTTTATTTGCCTTTGTTTTTCTCAAAGGTCCAGAACACTTAAAACGTCACAGTTGGTCAACTCGTCCACAGCGCCTCTTCGGTAAGTTCTGCAACACTTGCAGAGGAAAAATGACTTTTGTGCTTTAACAGCCTCTTTAAACAATGTGTTATCTGACTGAAGGGTTTTCTGTTTGGGCTTATGAATTTATTTGCTGAACATGTGACTTTGTGTAGTAGGATCGTAGGGAAAACTTTCAACTCCAACTGTACCCCCATCCTTGTGGACTCTGACTGCGAAGAGGGGCCTAACAGGAAGGTGAGCGCGAGCCGCAAGCGACGCCTGAGTATCTGTCTGCCTGACGACGATGATCGCGCTGAAGAGGTGAGCATCTGCTTTTACACATTAACAAACACAATCCAGCCTCCTCTGGCGTCTTCTGTTGTGACACAGTTTAATGTGTTTTCAGAGGGGGGCAGCAATCGATTCAACAGACTTCAGTGGCATCAATGATGATGAAATGCTAGCGGCTGTGCTGGAGATTAGTCGCCAAGAGGCCGGGCTCTCTGCACCTCCTTCTCTGGATGATGAGCCGACAAGCAGCCCGGACACCGGGTTTGGGGACACAGATGCACATGACTTGGCCTATCACGCAGATCTGCTGGAAGCAGATAGCAAACAGCCCGCAGGTACTCTAACGGGATATTTAAGCAGAGACAGTATGAGTTTCAAATCGATTGCAAGATTTCTTAACAGCAAAGATGATGGTAGATGTACAACTTTCAGGGGAAACAAAGTTTTTATTTTAGGAAAATGTTTGCAAACTTTAAGAGTGGTTAGATTGGAATTTTGGGACTTAAATGAAGGTGTGTTTATTTTATTTTTTTTGTTTGTTTTGTTCTGCTGACCACTAAAGTTAAAATTAATTAATTTTAGGAAGGCTGCCAAGTGATCAGACTCACTTCTTGGAGTACTTAAACTTGCAATAGACTGTTTTTTGTTTTTGTTTTTTTTTTATACGGGATCTGCATCAGGTTTTTATTATATGTGACACTTCTAAGAAAGGCTCATTCATGTTTCGTTCCATATTCTCTTGAAAGTACATGCTGCTTAAATTGATTGTGGGTTTCTACATTCACATAAACCCCAGGTTACCAACAAAAAAAACCCAACCTCACGTATCAGGTTTGCTGACTCTAGTATTTGTTGAACTCTTGTAGATGTGCTGGACTCCTTGGACCTGACCATGGATGAAAACAAGGAGAACCAAACTCCAGAGAGTGGTCAGCAGCAGGGGGAGCTGGACTGGGTCCAGCAGTACAATCTGGATCAGGAGAGGGAAGAACAGGAGCTGCAGCAGGCTTTGGCACAGAGCCTCCAGGAGCATGTAAGACCAGAGAGAGACTATGTAGCATTTAACACATCTGCAGCCCAATTGTTTTCATATTTCAACACAGTGGAGACACTTTGGTGCACCTAAATGGAAACAGTGCTTACTTTCAGCTGCTGAAGAGAGAATGGTTGGAGCCCATCAGAAGGGATGCTACATTTACATCCCTCTGACCGAATGGACCTTTGTATAATGCAATGAGCATTATACACCTGAGTTTGGTGCACCAGTTCTACCAGTGTTAGATGCTCACAACAATTTTTTTTCTAGCTTCCAGTAATGACGACCTTCCATTTGCTTTTAGATTACAGTAATCTCTCATTATCCTTAAATATCATTGACTACTCTGAAGTCTTTCACCAACTAACAGACCTGATGCAGGAAAATAAAACTTATGACATCATCTCTACAGGAAGCTCAGGAGATGAGAGAGGACGATGATTTGAAGAGAGCCACTGAGCTCAGCTTGCAAGGTAAGAAATACAATTTACTCCCAGGAATCGTCAGCACACGCTTCTTTGACCAACTGTGTTCAGCTGATTTTTGTATTGTGATGGTTGCTGTTGATCCCGCTCAGCTGGCAGCAGTGTGGCAACGTAAATAAGACTAAACGTAGCCACTAAACAAAGAAATTTCACTGGATATTTGCAGATCTGTTTAGTCAGCACAAACAAATGTTTAAAGTGTTCTTTAATCAGACTCTGAGCAATGTGAAAATACTGCACCGGCGTCATCATCTCCTCCTCTTTCAACAGAGTTTAACAACTCCCTGCCTGATCTGCTGTGCTCGGATGATGACTCTGGCAACGAGGACGTGCTGGACATGGAGTACACTGAAGCAGAAGCCGAGAACCTGAAGAGAAACGCGGAGGTATATCCAGCTGGCACACAGTGTAAAATACTGCAGAGCACAAAAATGGCAAATAGTTTATTCACCTTAAATCCAACGGATATATAATCACTATGCAAAAATAAAAACAGTGTTTTACAAATGTAAACCTTAATAAAGGGTCAGTTTAAATAATTCACACCACAGATAAAGTCTTAGATAATCTGCAGGACACTGAGTTGATTATGAATCAGAACATGGTGAAATACACACACTGATTAAGAAACTGCAGAATAAATTAAATAAAGCAGCAGACTGATGATAACTTATTGGTTGTTGGCCTGCATTAACCTGCCTATGTATCCTGTAACCCACAGAGTGGAGAGTTGGCCAACTCGTTCAGACTCATCAGTGTGGTCAGTCACATCGGGAGCAGCTCCTCCTCTGGTGAGCACTTGTGTTTGTTTGTGCCTCTGACTTTATCTCATGTGTTTGGACGGTGACAAATTATTCAGGAACAATGAAGATGAGCTTTAAGTCCAAACTGTGTATGAAAACTTTAAGGAACTGCTTTGATGTTTATCTCAAATGTCAATGAAGAAATTGGCAGCCAGAAATAAAGTTAATTTAAGGATTCTTAATATAAATAATCAGGGAAAACACTACTGGATGAAACTGTGTGGTCTTTACTTGGTGTGGGTTCGTGGGTCTCTTGCCTTTAGTTTTGTCTTCAGCAGTAAATTTTGTGAGAGCCTCAAATAATGGTCAGTACCTTTCAGCAAAAACATGATCTAGCCTGTCCTGATCTGATATTAGATGATGAATATTAGCTGACCAGGTAAAACAGTATTGAAATCTAAGACATTAGCTAACTTAATGGTTGTAGGTTTTAGTAGGAGCCACTGATAATGTGGCTATAAAAATGTTTTTTGTTTTTTAATCTTTCAGGCTACCAACACAGTGGAATTTAAAAAAAAAAGAAAGAAAAAGTAGCATTGTCCAAACACTTATTTACCTGACTGTATACTAAAGCTAGAACCATAAAGTTAGCTCATGTGTCAGGCAGAGGTTATATTTGTCCAATAACTTTGGATAAATGCCGGTGACATCATCCTTGTCTATACGTGGATGGCGTAGGTGTGCCCCCCTGTGTCTGTCGCTGTCGTGACTATAGACTTCAAGAACCAAATGCTTGCTCTGTGAACAAATATTGATAGATTGTTCCCCGTCTTTATCTTCCCTGTAGGCCATTACATCAGTGACGTGTACGATATGAAGAAACATTCGTGGCTGACCTACAATGACCTGGACGTGTCTCGCACGCAGGAAGCAGCCGTCCAGCGAGACCGTGACCGTAGCGGATACATCTTCTTCTACATGCACAAGTGAGTGTGCAAGTCCTCCTGTCAGCTGGTTATAGATGTCACTGTAATGATGTGAGATGCCCTGCTAATAACACGCTGCTACCTTGTGATCTCTCAGAGATGTGTTCGAGCAGCTATCTGAGATGGAGAGATCTGGAGCCGGAAGCACCTCAGAGGCAGGACGGAATGTCCTGCAGCCCCTCTGAGCGCCACGTCTTTGGACGCCCACCCACACTCAACCACAGCTGATCCTGTTAGATAAAGCTGCCCTGTGAATCCTCCTATACTACTGATTGCCGTCCCTTTTAGATAGCCTTCAGGCACTTCCTTTTTCCTCTACAGATCACTAAAGGCCAGGATAAAAATAACACCTGATGATGGCGACACAGGGGCTGACCTGTCAAGACTCTTTCAGATACCAGAAATGCAGTTAAAATGTTCCGTGGATCAATTTTTGCCTCTGTGTTTTTGGGGCTGGAGTCTTTCTTTGCTATAATTTTATCAACTGTTTTGTAAGGTTTAATTTTGTTGTTTCTTTCTTAAAGACTTTTCTTCAGACTTTTACTTCAAACTATCAAACACTGGGCACTCCTGGTGCTTTGTAGATTGTATGTTTGCAGACCCCTTTATTTCCCATATAAGCAAAATAAAGATATATTCTATGTTGGAGTATAAGCTATTATAGAATTTAGAGGGTTGTTGTATTTAGCGGGTACATTTGGTGCAATATTTGTTACTGGCACAAACTGGTCCATTCAAAACAGCTTTCTGTCCCACAGTGTGGATGTTTTCCCAGTTGCTTTTTGTACTTCATGTGCAACCTGATTTTTTTTTTTTTTTTTTTGTGTGTGTGATTATTTCCATATTTTAGAGGTGTGAAAGAACGTGCATTCATTAATATTTAACTGAGCTTTTCTCAGTTGATCACACTTTGTTGTTTGTTTGGGGTTTTGACCTTGTGCCTCCCAAGAAAAGTTTTATAAATATGTGTATACAAGCTTTACTTTGGAAAGTCGCACAACCTTGTTGTTTTTGAATGTTTGTCAAATCTGAAACGGTGTGCAAGTCAGAGTTTCTTCTATAAAGCCAACAGATTTTTATATTTATTGCATATAGAAGGGGGTTGGTTTCTCTTAATTAGCCCAAAATATGAGCCAAGGCAAATGGAAGTCATTACTACTTTATAACCAGAGAAGATACAGTACCTGTTGCATAATATCTTTTATTTCATCACCTTTAGAACAAGTGTTAAGCATTTAAAGTGCCCCTGTTATGCTCATTTACATGGTTAAAGTGTAACTGTGGGATTAAACGCCTTACTGTTCAGGGAAGGAACCCGTTATCTGCTCCGTTTTAGTGCCTGTCCCTTCAAGGCATCTGTCTTCTGCTCTGATTGGTCAGCTGATAACATTAATATTCTCAGACTGACTGTTAATAAAGCTGTAGCCATGTTTGGAAGACGTTTTTACCTGTAAATACAGTCGGAATCACCTGTTTCTTTATTTCAAAATGTGCCAAACTCACTGCTACTAGGGCAGTACATCGTGATGTAGATACGTTACGGCCTACAAACAATGCCTTTCAGCAGCTCTGTGTTTTTGTTTTAAAGCAGTTTCACCCTACAACTATTTATTCAATGATGGAATAAATAAACAGTTAGTGTTGGAGATGCTGGATATTTTCACTTCTGTTTGTCTTCTGGTCTATAACTGTAGGGAGATTTTTTTTTTTTTTAAAAAAAGCATAAAAGGGGCACTTTATTAACCAGTTCCTGTCAGGCATGAAATATGTGGAATATTCTGTTTATTACTGGGCACCGGCTGTGTAACTTTTATTCTGTGAAAGGGGGAAAAAAAAGAGCTCACTCGTAAACATGCTATTATAGACTTAATCTGTACAGCAGATTATTCCCTCAAATTAGCACATGGCATTAATTTCTAAAAATTAAATCACTGCAGACAAAATTTGACACAACTCCTGTCTTTATATTTGGGGATTTTAGGAAGTGTGCACTGATTAGCCAACTTCCTGTTGCACCACGCTGTGTTAATTCTCCAGGTGTTTTAATGTCTGCATTGATTGACGTTTCTTAAATGCCTCTCTTGAACATGCTGTCCCACACGCAGTGTAAAGAGCATAACATGTATTAGTGAAGTGAGAATGAACAGCTTTTTCTACCCTTCATACACAACCGACTCTTCCTAAAGCAGATTTTAATAAAATATTCCAATGAAAGAACTGAGACGTTTTTTGGTGTTTGAAACTCTTCAGCAGAGCTCACATCAAGTGTTTTTTCAGGAGGTCAGACTGTTTAGTGACAAGTCATTTTATAATACAGACTGCAGTGAGTGTCTTCAAATAAATATAAGAACCACAACAGTATAGAAGCAGTTTCCACCATCACATAGTGCAATATTTAATCTCAGGCCTGCAGGCAGCAGTCAGGGTCACCTGTCCTGACTGCACCTCTTCATCAGGGGGTCTAGGTGTCGGCCTGTGAGTCTGCTGTACTCGCTCAGGATGTAGTTTTCTCTCTGCTGCATCTGCAAACATGTTACACCTTTAATCAACTTTGAACATCCAGACATCACACAGTTTGAAGTTCATAAATATGGTATAAAAAAAAAGCCTCAGCTCATATAGATCTACCTATGGATGACAGATTAAAAGAAAAAACTGAGTCTTTGTAGATGTGACGATGGAGGCATCTTCTAAGGTGATCTAATGGGTCGTGATCTTGTGACTTGAGCACAAAGTGTATTTCCATTTGAGCTATAGTCTGAGTGGAGGAATGAATCTGGACACAAAGCCACTGTCTCCTTACAAACCTCAGTCCATTCTTCCTCTGTCTCATGCCTGTAGCCCAGCAGGTGGCAGATCCCGTGCGCAGTGACAACCTGAAACAGGAGCAATGAAACAGTTAATCACAGAAAATGGTACTGCTGTGCTTCATTTGGAAGCATTGACGGATTACACGCATGAGAGACAGGATAACTTAAGTTACTGTTTCATACAGTCAGCGCTCCGTGCAGATCCAGGGATTCCTCCTGACACTGCTTCATCACAAACTCCACCCCAAGGAAGATATCTCCAAGGTTCAGCTCGTCTCTGTGAAGGGGGCAGGGCAACTTCCCGGGCCTCAGGTCCTTAAATAAACCCCCACAAAACACACAGATATTTGAGTGGAGAAGTTACCCCAACCCTGCAGATTGTGTTCATGTCTTTCCCACAAGATAGCACAGTAGGTCAACTTAACCTCAATTTTAACGAGTTAAGTCTTGAGTAATGCTGCACCCTAGTGGTGAAAGTATTAGTTAAATTCTGTAGAGGGTAAATAAAAAGAGGACCTTTAAGGAAGCTTTCCAAACTGAGTGAAGTGATCAGAGAGATGTACTACTATGCTGAGCCTAGAGTCAAAGTTTTTAGTGCCATGAAGGTTGCTCTCTTTTATTTTATTTTTTTTACCTGGCTATATCACCATGGTAATATATGCCAAACGGGTAACCTGGTGCAGACCAGTAAGGTTCAGAGTTTTGATTTTAAATAGATGGAAAGCCACCAATTTCCGTCCCTGAGTGAATATTAAATAACATTAATATTAAAGGAGCTACTAAATACAAATAGATGCCCAAACAGTAAAATAATGTGCATACACTATCTCTCTTTCAAAACTCTCATTCACCTCATGCCGCTTTCCATAAAAGATAATATGGATGATTAAAAAAGGACACTATTAGCCATGATGCAAGCATTGGGCAACAGTTTTGACTGAAAGCCTTTTACACAGCATACATGTAAGATCTGTAGAAATATTTTGAGCTTAAAAAATACTCTTCAGACTCATCTATGCCTAATGTAGCCATTCACACCAAAGGCATAATTTTACTGTACCAATGCCATTTTTTTCGGCCAAGCTTTACACAGTGGAAAACTGATACTGACACATGGCTAACAGTTACAATGAAATCAAATCAGCCTTCAGCTTTCTAATCGGGGTTGTTTTATTTCCCTTTCAGGATGTGGAGGGCTGCTGTTAGATGGTGACGTTGATGAGTCACAGAAGAAGCAGCTGGACGACAGAGGAGGCTTTTTCTGAAGCTCCATTTGGCCTTTGAAACTTTATGAATCTTTTATTGCACACAAAGCAGTGTAATAAATCAAAAACAGAAGAAGACGTCCAGAACACACCCCCACCACCACCACCAGATCTCTACTAACAGAAGTGTGTTCATTCAAAACGTTTAGCTGCAATGTTTACCTCGTAGAATGGGAAAGACAGGACATCCGTGGGGGTGTTCTTCTTCCTGTAGATGTGATTGATCTGCTGCATCTTCTGGTTGTCCACGCAGATGATACCCAGGTCGAACTTCTGGATGCCCAGTATGTGTCTCAGCGTGACCACGTCCCTGCGCAGCCTGGCGCGCCGAAGAGGCACCACCTTCTGGAGGTTCCTCAAAACTACTCCCATTTTAAACAGCCGACACGAGAAGAGAACACAGCAACGGAAATATCTCGGTACATAGATGAAGGTTACCCACTAACCTATCTCCTACCTGGCGGCACTTTATTGTCGGTTGGTAAGATTCGCCGTTAGCCACGAGCAAACTGTAGTCTCCAAGGTGACACGAATTAAAATGCAGTCCCCGGGAAGTAGATAGTGTAGTTATTTTCTGGTTTATACAGCTTTGATAACCTAATTTACATTCATGAAATATATTCTTTCTTTTAAGAGATATGGTCGCTTATCTGTTAACAACCGCCTCATTGGCCATAGCGGAACGAATGGTTTAGCATTACTAGTAGAAGGAGGACTGATAAGTTTGTCGGACCGGAACCGGATTTAGAAAAACGTGAGCCAAAAAAGCAACACAAAACAGTAAAAGGTGGGATCTTTTTTGACGCACTTCTTCGGGTATTCCTATAATTCTGTTAACTGGGGAACTTTATGAGCAGCCAAACAAACTTTACTAAGTAATACTTTCATGGTGTTAGCCTGTGCTAGCAGTGTAGCTACGAGTCTGTTTTCGTCTCTTTTTTTTATCAGCATTTAAGCTTAAATTCTCCTCAGGCCGGAACTGCCTTACTGCTTGTTGCTATTCGAATGCTTAAAAACGTTAACATAAAACGTTATTTGAGCCATGAATACACCCAATCCGTTCGGTAGTGCCCATGGAGGAGCTTTCCAAGTCCCGAGCAGCAGCGTGAAGCCCAGCTTGTTCTCATCATTTGGCCAGCAGAGCTCCAGCACACAGGCCCCGCAGAGTGTGGGATTTTTCGGTCAGCCGCCCCCTCAAGGAAGCAATATGTTTGGACAAGCCCCGGCCTTTGGACAGCCATCTGCGCAGACTTCAGCGTTTCCACAGCAGTCTGCCCAGGCTTCAGCGTTTGGACAGCCATCTACGCAGGCTTCAGCGTTTCCACAGCAGTCTGCCCAGGCTTCAGCGTTTGGACAGCCATCTGCGCAGGCTTCAGCGTTTGGACAGCCATCTACGCAGGCTTCAGCGTTTCCACAGCAGTCTGCCCAGGCTTCAGCGTTTGGACAGCCATCTACGCAGGCTTCAGCGTTTGGACAGCCATCTACGCAGGCTTCAGCGTTTGGACAGCCATCTGCGCAGGCTTCAGCGTTTGGACAGCCATCTGCGCAGGCTTCAGCGTTTCCACAGCAGTCTGCCCAAGCTTCAGCGTTTGGACAGCCATCTACGCAGGCTTCAGCGTTTGGACTGCCATCTACACAGGCTTCAGCGTTTGGACAGCCATCTGCCCAGGCTTCAACGTTTGGACAGCCATCTGTCCAGGCTTCAACGTTTGGACAGCCATCTGTCCAGGCTTCAGCGTTTGGACAGCCATCTGCCCAGGTTTCAGCGTTTGGACAGCCGTCATCAGGAGTAAGCAGCACGGGTTTTGGGGGTGGCACAACACCGTCTTTTGGACAGACTGGAGGGCCCGGTCAGAGTTCAATGTTTGGACAAACGCCTGCTTTTGGGCAGGCTTCGGGATTTGGCAAACAGCCACCAGCAATCGGCCAGCAGCCCTCTGGGTTTGGGAGCCCACTGAGACCCGCAGTGAGTCAGCCTCAGCCTCTCGGGTTTGGACAGCCATCATCGTCATCCACCAGTGCCACCACCAACACCACTCTGCTTGGGCCAGGTCAGAGCAAGAGCTTCGCACCATCTGAATTTAGTTTCAGGCCAGCCAATGAGGCACTTTTCAAACCCATCTTTAGTGCCAGTCCCGAGCCAACCAACCCCCCAACCACTTCACTATCCAACTCAGCTTTTGGTGGGTCCCAGACAACCTCCAGCACCACCACCACGGCTGGTTTTTCTCTGTTGCCTAAGCCTGGGTCTTTAGGTTTCAGCTTCTCTGAACCAGCCTCAGCCCCCTCTATCTCCTCTCAAAGTAACCCACTAACAACTGACAGCAGTAGTGGTCCAGCTACCACTCTTCAGTTCACCTTCTCCCAACCAGCCACACTCACCAGCTCCAGCACTAAGGCTGCCACCACAGAGCCCACCACCCCGTCGTCTTTCAGCTTTACACCCAAAACCCTCCAGCCTCAGGCATCGCAGCTTTTTGGAGGAACAACTTTTGGTCAACCCTCAGCTTTTAGTGAAACCAAAACCAAAGAAGAGGCTAGTACAGATGTTAAAGTCCATACAGTCCAAGGGGACATCAGCATATTTGCACGGCTTGGCAAAGGCACCAAGCGGAAAGACGATCCACCAATCTCCAGCACCGGCCTTGAGAAATCAGCTGTCCCTGAGGAGGATGTTCCACCTGAAGCAGAGTCACCGAGACATCCCCCAAAGAGGCCGCTGATGAGGTCGCGTGGCCCACCAAGAGGATTAATCAGCCGAGCATTGAGCAGTCTTCGTAAGGATGGTGCTAAACCAGTGAGGCGAGAGGCTGCAAACGAACCGGAGAGGGAGGAGGTCCAAATTCAGAGTGGTGACCTCTTTGTAACTCCACCTGCTGCCCAGACACTGACCAAAGATGTGCAGGATAAAGCCGAAGAATCAGGTGAGACATAAAAGTCATATATACTATGCATTAGTAATAAATGTTCGAAGGGTCATGACAAAAATCCTTCATCATGCAAAGTACTTCTAAACAATTGAAGACCAGTTTACTCATCAGTGCTTACAATGACTGTAGTGATTTTTCTCTACAGATTCAGCAAAACCTTCAGAATCAAAGGTCGCAACCACGACCCCAAATAAACGTGGCTCACGCACTGAGAGCTTGGACAGCCTGAGCGGCATGTCTCCCACCGACTGCACCTCACTCACGTGCAAGAACGTCCCTTCAGCACTCAACAGAAGAGACACGATCGAGAAGCACTTTGCTCGGTTTGGGAAAGTTCACAAGATTATCTGCCGGCCCGCCAAGAACCTCACCATAGTGTACTTCAATGACCACGTGAGTCACCTTTTTGTACCCTCACCATCCTAAGTTAGAGGGTATCGACAAAACTGGCATTTAGTTTAACTTTTCTCTCAAGCTTCTACTCTTTTATTGCAGGTATTTTGGAGTTTCCTATTCTACTTTATAGAGTGTAATGTAGATTTTTTTGTCTTTTCCCATCATCTCTTCCAGGCATCAGCAGCAAAAGCAAAGAAAAAAGGCAAAATCCTGCAAGGAAAAGAGCTTCTCCTCCTGTGGCAGAGAAAGAAGCAGAGTAAATGCAAACATTTCTTTAAAAGCTAGTTTATTTTGGCAAAAATATCCTCTAACACAGAGTGATGGTTCTTCTGTATTAATGTGTAATGTTATGGAGCAGGTCCAGGGGAGAAAGCGGGTAGACCTGGAACTGGAAAGGAGACGTCAGAAGGAGAAGGCCAGGAGGACATGGAGTCAAAAGCGGGTTCTTCTTCACCACTCCGGAGACCCACCCTCAGACCTCCCACACTCAGCAGCACGATGACCTTCAGCCGCAGGTAACACAGCACCTAATTTTTACTTCACCAATAAAGCTGTCATGTAGTATGAAAAGTTTCCACAACATCATGGCTCTCTCACATGTGTCAGCTCCCCGGTGAAGAAACCTTCCCCCGTAAAGGCTTTGCAGTTTGACACTGAACCTCAAAAAGAGAGCAGCACCAGCCAGAGCTCCGAGCGCCCAGTCCCATCCTCTCTCCTCCCCCTCATCGGGCAGGTGGCTGAGACCGCAGAGGACAAATACCGCCTCCTCGAGCAGAGAGACAAGATCCTGCGTCAAGGCAAAGCCACCTCTCACATCAGCCATTATTAACAGAGCTACAAAAAATAAAATAAAAAGGTGTGAGACATTTAGTGCTGATGTCTTTACAGGCCGGCCAAAGCGGACAGACCTCCACCTTTCCAAGGTATTTGTGGGGACGTGTCCCGACATGTGTCCTGAGAAGGAGAGGTACATGAGAGAAACTCGGAACCAGCTCAGCGCATTCGAAGTCATTCCGAGCACAGAGACGGTAATGTCTTTAATATCAATATTAATATTATTTAAAATATTAAATTTGACCTAGAACTCCATGTTTAGTATTCAGAAGATTCTCTGGAGCACATTTAGATTTAAACTCTTTATTCACTTCATCTGATTGCACTAATTGGACGTTTGGGTGCACAACATTGTAAACATATCTGCTATTCATAAATAATGAATGTGTAAATATCTGTTTAGGCGTAGTGATAAATAATAAAAAATATGTATACACCGGAGAGACACTGCAGACTAGAAATGTCCAACTCACTTAAGTTTGTGGGCCAAAGAAAGCCTCGTATGATGCCCAAAAGTCAAACAACTAAATGTTTAAAACATTTCTTTTAATTTACACAAAAATTTGCTAAAAACTTTCAAATGTAGTGAACCGTCGATTACAGAACTGATGATGAACCGCCTGAGATACTTTTAAATGTCTTCTTACATGTAATTAAAGTACTGTCATATTTTCACTTTTCACCCAGTGAGGTGATGTTAACATTACCTCAATGGGTAGTGCAGAATGAAAATGAATGAAAATTGGCTTCTCTGCTTAGACTGCTGCCCTGTGACTCAAACGCTGATGGACAGATGGATGAAATGGTTGTCAGTGTTTTTTGTAGCAGGCTGTAACCTGGTCATGCAAGGAAATGAGATTCTTTCTTGCTGTAAACAAATTTTTCTCCTTCCGTCTCTGACCAGGTGGATCACAAAGCCGCCATCAAGGAGTACAGCCGCTCATCAGCCGACCAGGAGGAGCCCCTGCCCCACGAGTTGCGTCCTTTGCCGGTGCTCAGCATGACTATGGACTATCTGGTGACGCAGATCATGGATCTGGGCCACGACAACTACCGGGACTGGTACGACTTTGTCTGGAACAGAACCCGCGGCATCCGCAAGGTAGTGCTTCAGATGAGCTGCTCCAGCTATACTTAATTACAACTTCAAAAAAGCTGTTTTGTTTCTGGAGGTTTAGTTGGGTGATTGGTGTGATTTAGAGTCATTGCTCTGGAGAGACTGATCCTCGTCTCCATCTCTCACTCACAGGACATCATCCAGCAGCACCTCTGCTGCCCACAAACGGTGTCACTGATTGAAAAGTGCACCCGCTTCCACGTGCACTGCGCCCACCACCTCTGCGAGGAGCACATGTCATCGTTCGACCCCAAGATAAACAACGAGAACATGACCAAGTGTCTGCAGAGCCTGAAAGAAATGTACCAGGACCTGGCTACGCGTCACATCTTCTGCCCCCGTGAGCCGGAGTTCCGTCAGTACAGCGTTCTGCTGAAGCTCAACGATGGGGACATCCTGCGGTCAGTCACGGAAACATATATAGAATATACCCATTCGGTGCTCCAGCGTGCATTTCCTCTGTAATTTGTAGCTGCATCTCACACCTGACCCTTAATCTCCACGCAGTGAGGTGCAGCAGTTTCGTGATGAGGTGCGAAACTCCGCCGAGGTGAAGTTTGCGGTGCAGGCGTTTGCTGCCGTCAACAGCAACAACTTTGTTCGCTTCTTCAAGCTGGTGAAAGGAGCCTCGTACCTCGCCAGCTGCCTCCTGCACAGATACTTCAACCAGGTCAGAAACTGTCTGGAAATCATGTCT